CCCCAGACCCCCGGGGGGGGGGAGGCCGGCGCCTGCGCCCGAGGCCGGAGGGCGGCGGAATTGCCAGGCCGGGCGCGCTGGGGGTGGGGAGCGGCGGGAGTGGTCAGCCGGCCATCCCGGGCGCTTCGCCCGACGCAGCTGACCCCGGGAGGCTTGTGCGGCGGCCCTTCTTTCGGATCCTGAGCAGCTGCCAGGCGGTCGGAGCGCTCCTCTTCTCCCGCGGCGGCGGCGTGGAGGCCGGCCGAGCCAGGCGCACCTTCCCGCGAGGCCTCGGGCCCACCGCTGCCTCTCTCTCGGCAGCACGTGGCCGGTTCGCGGCTCTTTTGGGCTCAGCTCCTGCCTCGGCCGGCCCCTTTCGGAGGCCGGCGGTCTTCTGCCTCAGGTCCGAACAGGCCTCCTGCCTGGAGGCCTGAAGGTGCCGCGCGGACGGGCTCGGGAACGCCCGCTAAGACGGGCCCCTCGTGCGGCTGGAAGCTGCTGTCCGGGGTTGGTGGGGCCGCTTTCGTGGCGGGGAAGGAATCTTCCTTCCGGACGGTTCCTGCGGGACAATAGTAAGATGTGCCGGGAAGTTCAGCAGTTCATTGCGTGCTACTTTATTCTGGGGTGTACAAACTTCATTTATTTTCTAGGTTTGGGAGTAGTTGAGTTCACCAAGGAACTTTCGCAAATGGTGATTGATGTACTTGTGCCGGTGAATGTGCTGATTTTGTCCTATAACTTTCTTCATTGGATGAGACCTCTACGTTTTAGGATTTTAGCATAAAGAGTGCACTTTTTAATCTAGAGTTTATGTAAATGACTAAGTTGTGAATCAGGAACTGTACTTATCATTTCTTTACTTTGATAATAAGTCTTGCAATTTTGTCTGTAAATATGGTGGTAGTATTGACTTATTTGTAGAATTTATTTTAGTATCTTTTGCCTGATCTAGCATAACTTCAACCCTGCTTTTCTTCCAATTAATGGATACCTATGTTCTTACATCATTGTCAGGATTGTCAGTAATGAGCTGTTAGGTTCCAACTTATTTCTTAATGAAACTGTTGCGAGATGTCATGTGCAACTTTGGAATGAGGTGCCTGTAAGTATGTTTATGACAACTAGTACTAATGTTTCTTGCTGTCCAACTGCAAGGAGACAGTGGATTCCCTTATTATAGCCTAAATTCAGTAATGATCTGGATGAGGCTACCCAAGCTATGATTAGAGCCAGGCAAGATAGAAGTTGTTAGTTGTTGGGGAACCAGGCTTCATAATTGTGATCTAGCCTATTCTGAATGCTGTCACATTTCCCCTGAACAAGCAGGTCCACAGTCTGGGAATGTACTTTGATTACCAGCATCACTAGATTTCTAGGTGCTGACAAGGAATGCATTTTCACTACTTTGTTTAATGTGCTAACTGTGACTACCCCTGGCAACAGTTGCACATTCCTTAGTTTCAGCAGGGTTAGACTACTATAATATTCTCTACACAGATTTTTCCAGAGTTTCCAAAAGTTCAGTTGGTGCAAAGTGTAGGAGCTACACAATTACAAGATGTGATTGAGGTATCATGATAGAATTACTGTGAAAATTTTTGTTGCAGTGTTACATTTCCTTATAATTTTTTATTGTATAGGTTTAATCCAGTGTCTTTACATCCAAGGTATTTTAGCAATGTTCCTATTGTAATTTTAACCCAAATCCCTTTCTTTGTTAGGCATGAATGATTTTGGCATTGATAAGAATCTACTTTTCAAAGGCAGGTAACTTGGGTCATCTCATAGGAAGGTTACTTGTGGTTCACAATCTTTCAATTATTTCTCACTTGTGATGTCATTTGGAGCAGGTAAAAAAACAGCAGACCAACCTAATTGCAAATGCGATATGAAGATTAGGTTGTGGTGTTGGTGATGAAGATAATTATAAATATCAGTAAATCAGGCTGATATCTGTAGGTACTTACTAATGTAAATAGAATTTCTTCTCTCATAGGCAGCAACTTAGTGTCATTAGTTTTTTTTTGTTTTGCCTGTTCAATTTGAAGATGGACTTTTGAAATACTTTGTGTGGGAATTCAGTGTTCTGAATATGTCATTTATAAATATTTATACTGTGAAAGAAACACCCATTGGTGTCTGGTTTTTTGACTACAGGATAGGACTAAGGATTAGTAGCATCTTTTTCAATGTTCTGATATGCTTTGCATACAAAAAATCTCAATTTGAATCCCTACCAGCTCCAGATAGGGCTGGAAAAAATCTTTTTTTTAAAAGTCTGGAGAGCAGCTGCTAGTCAACATAGACTGAGCTAGAGGGCCAGGGTCCAACTCAACATAAGGAGTGTTACATGTTCCCTGAAGTTTCTCTTTTAAGAAATGTTGCTGAATCTTTTTCATCATAGTATTTCTAAGCATGTTGAATAATTCTAGGCTTCTTTATGCTTTCTGCCAGTTAAGATGAAAGTTAAGATTACTGAACTGGAATCTTTAAAAACATGAAAATAGGTAAGTTCAGTATACATACTTATGCAATTGGTTTTTTTGTTTTTGTTTTTGGTAATATTCTGTGTCTAACTCTTACAGTTGCCAGAGTTGTAGGACCCTTTATTCTCTGTGGAACAATACCATGCTTGATGATAGTACTCCAAATATTGCTACATTTGTTTTTCTTTGACATTATAAATTTCCTAAAAAAAGAAAACTAGCTTTATGGTAAAATCTACATTCAGATCTAAAGTGGTGTGAGAAAGTTTGTGATTCTTTGAACTCTCTGTAATCTTCCAGTACTGTGACCTAACAGTGAGATTAGAACTTCATTTAAGTCTTATTAATAGATAAAGAGGTTCTGGTTAAACAAAGAACATAGAACGTTCAGTCCACATTTACTATATTTGTTGGAGAAAGTATATGAAGCTTTAGATTTAGTAACTGGTAGCATCCCCTTTTAGCAACAGTGACTTCAACCAAACTTCAACCAAGTACTTTTCCCATACATTGGCTTGGAAATATTTTGACTCTTCTTTAACAGAAGTACTTCAGCTCATATTTTAGGGCCGTCTTGTTGAAGATACTAACCATTGATGCCTATCACGGTTGTGGTCCACTGAGGCTTTCACATAATGCTTTTTAGTAAGATAGAGAAGGTTTAGACTAAGATACCAGCATTAATTGTACCTGTACATTGCTAACATTGAGAACAGTTATTAGTCAGTTTTGGAACATTCTGCCCCATGTGCCCAAAGCATGCTATTCTTTGCAAGCTAAGATCTCTACTCTAACATGTAAGGTTTGTACATTCAATCCTTCCTTGAAGTGCTGAAAGTTATTTATTTCACAGTGCTTATAGCATCAAGCAAAACAAAAACATAATGACTAATTCCAGAATGGTATTAAACCCAAAAAATAACCACATAAAACTCCAAATAAAGCCCAGGATAAGCACCTGCAAACCGTCAGGTGGGACCAAAATAACAACTTTAACCTGTCTCCAAAATTGCAGCAAGGAGGGGGCTGCATGTACTTCAGGGGGAGATTCCTAAGGTGGGACTATTAACCAAGAAGGCCTGTCATCTCACCTGTACCCCATGGACCTTTTGAGGGAGGAAACTTTCAGCAAGTCCAGTCCTGATGACTGGAATAGATGGGCAGATTCTGTTCTGGCAACACTTTATCTGATATAGCCCAGTGTTGCACTGAGGTAATGACCAGCAGTTTGAACTGGGCCTAAAAACCTGCCTGGGACTACCTGCTGGCAGTCATTGAAGTGACTTTACTGTGCAGGTAGTAACACCACAATTGGGACCAGCAACTCTGTCGCTAAGCAATGCGGTTGTTAAGTGAGACACCACATGACTGTGACTTGCGATTTTACAGCCAACTTCTCCATTAACTCTGGTTATTGGAAGCCAGCTGTGAAGCACACAAATGGTGATCATGTGATTGTGGGACACTGCAACAGTCATAAGTACAAGGACCAGTCATGAAGTTACTTTTTCAGCATCGTCACAACTTCAGATGGTTGCTAAACATCTACTGCCTGTAGATGTAATTCTTTACTGGTGAACTGTCCTGCCAGTGATCAAGCTGCCACAAGACAGCCCCACATACAGTATGTGGCAGTAGTCTAAGTGGGTGGTAATGAGGGCATGAGTCACTGTAGCAAAATCCTCCCACTCCAGGTAGGGTCACAGGCAGCAGACCAGCCAAAGCTGGGAAAAGGTCTTCCTGGCTACAAAGAGCATAAGTCCAGGAGAACCCTCAAGTCGTGAATCTGTTTGTCAGAGATAGCGTCACCCTGTCAAGAGACACCCCTGGAACAGAGAAAGAACCCTGATGGACAAACTCTGTCTTTCTAGGGATTCAGCTTAAACCTGATATTTCACATCCAGACCTTTGCAGCCTCCAGGCACTGGGACCAGATAGAGTAACAATGTGAAGAGCACCCTATCCACTTCATGGCAGGCCCCAGGTCAAAAGGAATCCCAGGTAATTAAGCAAGACAATGCCCCAGTCATCATTCTGGACCTACGAGAGAATCTGGGTGACTTTGTCAGTGAAATGTGCTAATTGATAACAGTGGCCAGGTGGAGGATGTGGATGTTGGTTCTTTCAGGAAATTCACTACCCAAAACATGCTTGTGGAATAACAATTTGCTGATGCAATAAAAGAGAAGAAATAATGGAGTTTATTATTATAGAAATTATAAAATTCATTATAGAAATAATGAAGTGAGAGAAGTGATGTCTAGAGCATCAGTCAAAAAGTGAATCTGACTGAATACAGGCTTATTTTGTGGTGATAGTAAACCAAGGAGCCATCAGGATCTGCCAGTGAAAAGAGGTCCCACAGGAGCAGTGATGAACCAAGCCTTCAACAGATTAATCTGCCAGATTGTCAGGAAACTCCCCAAGCACCCCCTGAAAGTTATCTATTAGGCACTAATAGTTATCTAATAGGCACTAATCTATTAGTTATCTATTAGTTATCTATTAGGTGGATCATTCAAGTAGGTTTGGCACAACAAGGGTAGTAGTCATTTGTATCTGGACCAGGAAGTGATCTTACCATGGCAAAGGGTTACTTATAATGGCCCGCATACCAGCTGTTCCAAAGCAATGGCAAGGTCCAAAGTATCTTTTTAGGGTTCAACTGAACCCTGGTAAGACAGAGTGGCTATGGATTGGAGGCCCTTCTGTATCCAAGGATTTGCCATCTTTGGTTCTGGATGGGGTGGCACTGCCCCAGACAGACCCCGTGCATAATCTGAGGGTCCTCTTGGACTCATGACTCCTGCCCGAGGAGCAGGTGGCAGTGATGGTTAGGAGGGCCTTTGCTCAGTGTGGTGCACTGGTTACACTCTTTCCTGAATCAGGAGGCACTCTAATCTGTCACTCACGCCCTGGTCATCCTTTGTTTAGACTATTGCAATGTGTTCTACGTGGGGCTACCCTTGAAGAGTATCTGGAAGCTACAGCTGGTTCAAAAAGCAGCCGCACAGACAATCCTGGGTGCCCCAAGGATGGCACGTGTAACACCTTTGCTGCAGGAACTGCATTGGGTGCCATTTTGTTTTTGGGGTCCAATTCAAGGTGTTGGTTATCACCTTTAAAGCCCTACATGGCACGGTCTAGGCTACCTGAGGGACTATCTAAACCCCATCACATCGACCCATCCCACCCAGTCAGGCAGAGAGGGCGTGTCACAGACCCCGTCAACAAGAGAATGTCAGCTGCGGGTCCCAGGAGGAGAGCCTTCTCTGCCGTTGCACCCCCCCTTGAATATTCTCCCTCCAGAAGTACGGCTGGCCCCTTCCCTCCCAGCTTTCCAGAAAGAGCTGAAGACACGGTTCTGCCAGTTTGCATGGGGCAAGAAGAGTTTTAACCAGCCTTGGGGGTGGCTGGTACCCTGATGATGTTCCCCAACCCTTATAATTTTTAGTTACCATCAATTATCTTGGAAGATACTTAATATTTACTTAGGATAAATTATCAAACTGTTATATTGTATTTTTAATTAATATTTATCTTTTCTGTAAACCACCAAGAGTCGTTTTTTTAATGACATGGGCAGTGACAAATTTGATATATAAATAAATAAATAAAGATAAATATCTGGCAACCCACATATGCTAACCTCTGCTCCATTCACATTCTTACATCACATCCCCATCATCAATCTCCCTCACCATGCATCACCCTTAAACCCATTACAGGGGTGAAAAAAATAGTCCAGAGTGCTCACACTGGACTGGGCTGTCCCTTTTTTGCCCACCCTATTGGCCAATCTCGCTCCCCCTGTCTGTTGCTTGCGGTACTGCCCAAATGTAAACTATTCTGCAATGGAAGATGTGATTGGAAATAATGGAAATAGGCTTTTGTGCATGAGGTGCTGACATCACAGGAGATTTTTCTCCACCAACTGTATGGAGCCTCTCAAATTTTACAAGATGGTGCTCACTTAGGATACCTTGTGGCTTGATGTTAAAGTGTTGAGACTCAGGATCCCATTCCTCTCACACCTCACCAAGCCATCCTGTTTCCCTCACTTTTTTTCTCAGTAGCTAAGAATCTCCCCTTCCCTTGCCCAAGTGTCTAAAGTCTAACCCTGTGATGGAATGGACTTATGAAGGCCAGGCTCAGGGAGATAAGCGTGTTCTTAGCCCCCAACAGGAGCGTGGGAAGTTCAAGAAGATGAGGCTGGCACCTCCCTTAGGAATTCACGGTGTTGTGGCTGGCTGGCTTGGGAACTAGGGTTCAATCTGGTGAGATTTCTGTCTGGAGGTTGAAGCTAATAAACGCAACAGAACTGTATTTGCATTGTCCCTTGGAGTTCTTTAGGCTGAACCTGACAAACCCAGAGAAATCCCAGTAGTTAGTCTTGGTCCCAAGTTCATGGTCCCAAGTAGCAATGGCTGCTGTACTGTCTCTGTTTAGAAGTGTGTTGTACTTTACCACTTAGCCAGCAGTCCAGCTTTGTCACTGTATCTGCTATGCCAGTGTAGCAGTCTCTGCCAGATCTCAGCCCCATAGTGACACTACTCTCAATGATGGCTGCCACATCTGGATGTCCTAGTGCCACTGTCATTCTCACCGCCCTTCTAGCCAACGCTCCAGGTGAATGAATCAATAAAATAAAGCCAATAAAGGTATAATATAGAAATGCATAATCCAGAAACACATTCCTCAAATTGTCAGGAATGTTAGAATGTGTTCTGTCACTTTTTGTTTCATATTTCTGTTCCTCTTCTCTGCTGTCCTCCTTATCCAGATCTACTTCTTCACTTCAGATTTCTTTTTTATTCACCTTTGTGATTGTAGAGAGAATTCAGTTATTAGGTCTTGTCAATTATGTCTTATGTCTATACTTTTTTTTTTTTTTGCCTTCAAGCCAGTCTTGCTTATATTGTACTTACTTGATTTTTTACAAAATTGAATGCCCCAGTTACAGCACTGGAATTTGTTTAGCTTTTTCTACTTTTTCCTGTTTCTGTACTGTACACTGTGCCAATTTGCAGCCAGTGACCCATATCTAGAAAAAATACTCACATTACATAGATATTTATTAGGCCTGATCAAAAAACAAAATAAAAATAATATGCATATACTGAGGGTTATATATCTAGGATAGGGGTGACAATTTAATATTGTGAAGCTGAAAAAATATGCAGAAAATCACTATTTGTGATGTCACTTAGAATGAATTCCTTATTTGTTGATGGCCTGGTGTACATAAACATGACGTAGCATCATAATATGAATAAAACTAATGGAGTAACATTTGGAAATTAAATTGGATTTTTTCATTGTGAATGTTTGGCTGAAGTCACCTAAGCCCCCATTTTCTGCCTGCCTACCTTCTTTTGCAAAAGCTATTCTCACATACATTTACTCTGGAGGAACTCCTACTCCAAAGTGGTTTGAGGCACATGGTCACTGCGTCTGAGCAGTGCAATCCTAAATTTCTTTATTTCCACACAGCTCAGTGGGACTTGCTCTTATTAGGTGCATGCAGGATGCCACCTTGATTTTTAAGCAGGCCTCTGGAGACGTGTTCATACACCCAAATATTGTCTGCAACGTGAAGAGTAAAGAGAGGGACTTACCATGGTTGCTCTTGCAGAATTAGAATTGTTTATTGAAGTTTGGGGGCAAGGAAGGAGTATGCGCATGTTTGACATACAGCAAGTGGAAAGGCTGAATATGTTTGAAGTCCCCCCCCCCCTTTGGGACTGTGTTTGCAAGGCCATGTATTGGCCAAATCTGAAATCATCTTTGCTGTAGTTGACCAGAATTCATGTGTATCTAGAATGACAATATAGCAGTTTATTGTATGACCAATAGAATGTTTAGCAAGTGAATAACGGAATATAAAAATTACTTTCCTGGACAGTCGTATTGTAGGAAATATCTAAACTGTTTCTGTGCATAGAAAATGATGTTATGGATAGGGTGCCCCAATGTGCCTTCCCTCGGGTTTGATCCAAGTCTTCCCTGTGTTAAACCTATTATTTTGAGCTCCTACCATTTTTCTGAATAAAATGGAAGATAGCATTATTCATTAATACATAATGTAAAAAGATCTGCTTTATTTTTCAGGTGCCATGTTTCAGGACATAGTGGGAGTACTGGGAAAGAAGAACTAAAGATACAGCATAACTTGAGATACAGGCTAAGTGGAAAAAAATTAACCTGTCTCTGAGGTGACTAAAGGGGAATAATGGTGATTTTGCGCCGGGCTCGGCCGCCTGCTTCCGCCCCAACCAGCAATGAATCTTGACTCGCTCTCGCTGGCCTTGTCTCAAATCAGCTACCTGGTGGACAATTTAACTAAGAAAAACTACCGAGCCAGCCAGCAGGAAATACAACATGTAAGTGGAGAGTGTTACACTATTTTGGAATTTTGATGGAAAGAAGATAAGCTCCTTCTCAGCTTTTGTACCGCTTTGCTTTTCATACTACTTGAATTTGTCTTTCAAATAATAAACACGGGTCTTATTATAATCCACTTGCTGAAAGCTATGTTTCATCTAGTTGCATCAACTGACAGTTTGCTGTTTCCAAATCATTATATGAATTGTGTTAGATTGGGCTAAATTGGTGTTACTGCTTATTAAAATTCCTGTGCTTAATTTTGTTTGCTGTCAGAAGTGTCAAATGTGCTGAGTCAGATTTCAATCAGTACCAATAATTGCTTTGGTCCATTTTTTCTCTGGGAGTATGAGCTAAGCTTTTGATCTTTGCCATGTTTTTTGACCAGTCTGTCCTTTGGGAAATTTTCCATGTTTGTGTGTTTTGATTGAGTTGCTTCAGCAAATACCTTTGATATTCTTGGATTAGACTGTATGATGGAGAGAATGTTCTTCTGGAATATATTGCTACTCCAACAAAGCATGTTTTCTTGTTCTTAGCAGTTAAAATAAAAATACATGGTTAATTTTTAGTTAGACATTTTTGTGAGTATATTTGCTGTTTTTCAAGTAAAAAACACAACTGGCTATGTCAAATCATTCTAGTAGAATAGAGACAGATAATTCAGTTTTTACATTCGGCTGCACAAATTTTGTATCCAAATTGGCTCCTTTTCCTGGCTTCACATTCCCCCCCCCCCTTCTTTTTTAGGAATTACCGCCCATCTTCAGTATTTTTGCCCCTTAGCTTCTCCTGTCATTTCTCTGTTTAATAAAATAAAGGCGTGCTACCTGTGATAGGTTCTTTTTGGAGGAATGGTACACACAAGGCGTGTATTTTTCTTCTGCCTTTGTTGCAGGGAAGGCAGCATTATTACAGCAAAATGCCCACTTATTTCTAACCCTTATCACAATGTCTAAAATTATTTATTTATCGAAGTTGTTAAGGCCATTCAACTCCAAGAAGACTCTGGGTGGCATACAATAAGTCCAATATATAGTTTAAAAACACATTAAAAAACTACATAATTGCCTAGTATGTATGCCTATACTTATAATTTTTATGTAATTTGGTATATACTGTGTAGCTAATTCTTATTTACAGGTTTTTATAAACTTATTTTTCTCTTTTCTCCCTTCTGTAACTTATGAGTCTTAGTTAGCTCTATCTAGAGGTGGATTGTGGGGAAATTCAGCCTGAGTTCTAGCCACCCTGAGTTGGATTGGCTTCATTGCTGGCTGGTGTTTTTAGTTTTTTACAACTCCTTTTCCCTTTCTGTTGCTTCTGTTCCTTTTTGAGCAAACTCAAACATTCCAAACTTGGAAATCGGTCATCTACTAAGTCTTAGTTATATCTATTAAATCACTTATGTCTTCTTGAACTAAAGCTCAAGCTCATATTAACAATTTCCCATATCTTTAATGTTTTTACTTTATTATTTTTTTCTCCAGTCTCTACACGATTCAGCTTAAAGATCTAACTCACCATACTTCTGCCAATATATTTTTACATGACCTTGTGAGACTGTTGGCAGCCCATTTCATGCCAGTAGTCTATCATCTAGATGTTGTTGTTCAGTCGTTAAGTCGTGTCTGACTCTTCGTGACCCCATGAACCATATCGTGCCAGGCCTTCCTGTCCTTCAC